TTCTGTTAGCAGCATTAGCAGGTCTTGTTAGCAGCTTGATGACAATAACGACCGCAGCAGCTGCTCTCCCAGACTACCCTCCAGAACGGGGTCTGGCAGATGGAGAACAGAACAGAACTGTTCCTAGAATTTGGTCTGTACAGGTAGATGGAGGATCATGGAGAAGGCCGCCATGATAGGCCAGAGCCTGAGGCTGCAAGGACTGAACCACTATGGCAGGATTTCTTTAGGGGATTTAAAACATTTGATAAAGTCAATAGAAACATCAAAACAAATATGTTCTTGTTATTTGTATTTTGTTTTACGGCACCTGATTTATTGTTTTATCAAGTCAAGTCAAGTCATCTTTATTTGTAGAGCACAATTTAAAACAGATAAACTGTTATCAAAGTGCTTAACAGAAAGCAGCATTCACAGAGTTTTATAACACTACTTTTATTTTACTGCATTTTTGCTGTAGTTTATTGTTATTGTCTGTACTTGGTATGTTCCGTCTAAAACAGGTCTCTCTTGTTGAGTCCCCATGACTCACTGAGACTAACCTGGATGAATAAAGGTTGAATGAATGAAAGGATGACACGATGGCAAGGCGGCGACACAGAAAACTCCAAAAGTGCGTTGCGATCTTACTCGTACTGTGGGTGTGCAGTGTAGGTGCAAAAAAAGTTAAAACAAAAACAACAGGAACAAAAAAAGAGCGAGTCGAAGCTGAAGTGAAACAGGAGGAATCTGAGTTGATGAATTGTTACAGAATACTTATGAAAATGTGATTTAGTCAAAATGCATTTGTTAAAAAGTATTTTTGAAGAGTGCCGTTTTAAATAAACATGGCTTCAAAGTCCTCTGGGATGCAGTTTAGGTTGATTTCTCACTCGGTTGCTTGTGATTTTCAGGCTGATCAGAGGTTTGTGTGGAACGGCAACCTGCTGAGGGAGCTGGCCGGGCAGCCAGAGGTAACTCATATTTCTGTTGTCGTCTATAAAAATGTGCTCTTTATTCTTCTTTCAATCACCTAACGGTCACTGTTCCTCCACAGCTGCACAGGTTCGCCCTCCCTGTTGTTCATGGATGTATCCTTCCCACAGTCTGGTGTTTAATGGTTTATAATAATCCAGTGGAACTATAATAATCCAGTGGAACTACCCAGTATGAGGGCCAAAACTTTTCTTTGACTGCCCTGGTTCAGTCATCGTGATGAAACCGTGTCGAATAAACGGGAAAATCTTTGAGTGGATCCTCATTTCCAGGAGAAGCTGCTTCCGGGCCGGCGTCAGGTACTACGTGAGAGGTGAGAGCCTAAAAGTGTCACCTTGACCCCATGAGACAGACTGTTTTGTCTCGACAAGTTCAAGATGAAGGACATTCTGACATCAGCAGTCATCTCTCTGTAGTACCTGCTAAAAGAAAAAGTCGTTCCACCAGTTCAAGTTATTTCAGGGCATTTTACAGAGAAATAAGTAATTTAAAGGTGTAGTTCAGCCATTTTTAAGCAGGTTTCTGTAAAAATCATGTCTTTACAGTTTTAGACAGCTTATTGAAACAAAGTTTAACTGGCAGGACTGATGGCTCATCAGATCACAGTGAAGATCAGAGTTGATCGCTGCCTTCAAATCCTCCAAACTTCATTATGTTCATACAAACATCACGCTGCTGAAGATCTAAGGTTTTTGTCTCCTGTTGTGATGTCAAGACAAGGAATTGTGAATACTGTATTTCCAACTGTAATAATTGTAATACTTTGTTTATTTACATAATGACTTGCTGCATGTCCGGCCCCCAAGCAGTTTAGTTAAAAACAGAACATCCAGAAAGTTTTCACGGTGCTTCGTTTATTCCACGTTTTCTTTTGTTACAGCCTTATTCCAAATTGTATTAAATTATTCTCTTTCCTCAAAATTCTACACACAACACCCCATTATGAGAATATGAAAATTTTATTTTTTATTTTTTATTATTTTAGCAAATTTGTAAAAAATAAGAAAAATAACGTTTACACAAGTTTTCACAGCCTTTGTTTAAAACTTTGTTGATCCATGTTTGGCAGCAGATGCAGCCTCCAGTCTTTTTCAACATGATGCTTCCAGCTGAGCTCACCTCTCTTTAGACAGTTTGTCCCATTCTTCTCTGCAGTACTTCTCAACCTCCATCAGGTTGGATGGAGACGTATGTGCAGCCATTTACAGAGATCTCCAGAGATGTTCAATCTGATTCAAGTCTAAACTCTGGCTTGGCCCCTCCAGGACCTTCACAGAGTGGTCCTGAAGCCACTCCGACAAGATCTTGATCATGTGTTTTGGGTTGTTGTCCTGCTGTCTGAGGTCAGGAGCTCTCTGGAGCAGGTTTTCATCCAGGAGGTCTCTGTACATTCTGCTGCATTCATCTTTCCCTTTATCCTGACTACTCTGCCAGTTCCTGCTACTGAAAAACATCCCATACCATGATGCTGCCACCACCACGCTTCACTGTAGGGATGTATTGTTCTGGTGATGAGCTGGTTTCCTCCAAACATGATGTATGGCATTCACACCAGAGTGCAATCTTTGTCTCATCTGACCAGATGATATGTTTCTCCTGGTCTGAGCATCCTTCAGGTCCTTTTGTCAAACTCCAGATGTGCTGCCATGTTCCTTTTATTAAGGAGCAGCTTTCATCTGGCTACTCTACCAGACAGGCCTGATTGGTGGATTGCTGCAGAGATGGTTCTTCTGGAAGGTTCTCCTCTCTCCACAGAGGAACGCTGGAGCTCTGACAGAGTGACCATCAGGTTCTTGGTCACCTCCCTGACTAAAGCCTTTCTCCCCCGATCTACAGACCTTTGACTTCATGCTTGGTATTTGTGCTCTGACCTGCACCGTCAGCTGTGGCACCTTCTATAGACAGGTGTGTGTTTCCAAATCAAGTCCAGTCAGCTGGATTTACCACAGGTGGACTCCGTTTAAGTTGTAGAAACATCTCAAAGAGGATCGGTGGAAACACCTGAGCTCAATTTGAGCTTTATGGCAAAGGCTGTATTTACATAAATGTGATTTCTTAATTTTCTATTTTTAATAAATTTGCAAAAATCTCAAATGATCTTTTTTCACATTGTCATCATGGGGTACTTTGTGTAGAATTTTGAGGAAAGATTTAATACAATTTGGAATAAATCTGTAACATAAAACGTGGGAAAAGTGAAGCGCTGTGAAAGCTTTCTGGATGTACCGTGTACACACACACACACACACACACACACATTTGAATATCTGGCACCAGTAACATAAAGGTTCACTTCGTTCTCTTTTCAATTCCAGTCCAGAAACACACTTCTTCTCCAAAACGTTCAGTATTCAAATCCGTCAGAGACTTCTGCGTACCATTTGTTTGTCTCAAAGGACCTGAGCAGGGCGCAGGGACATTTAGAGGCTGGCCACCCCCCTCTTACTGTCCTACTGTCTCCACAGGCATCGACTCTGAAGGCCACGCTGCTAATTTTGTGGAGACTGAGCAAATAGTTTTATATGAGGGTGCAAAGGCTTCATTTGTACAGGCAAGTATATTGACCCAGCCCTGTGTTTGTTCTCTGGAGCTTTTCAGATTAAAACTGAAAGGTTTGACTGATTTCAAAATAATAACTTTTATTATTATTATTCCTAGACTCGAGGCTCGATGCCCTTTTACTGGAGTCAGAGGCCCAACCTGAAATACAAACCCAAACCTATCATCAGCAAATCTATGAATCATGTAAGAGGAGCACGGTTCTTATGTTCTTGCCAGTTTGGGGCTGTGGTAGAAGAGAAGATGTGCTAACTGTTTGAAACTGTGCACAGATGGATGGTTTCCAGAGGCATTTCGACTCTCAGATTCTCATCTATGGAAAACAAACTGTCCTGAACCTGGTGAGGCTCCTACTTTTTATTACAGGTTATTATTATAAACGAGCCCTACTCACAGTTCTTCAACTATTTTTTCTTTTTTAATTTCCAGGTGAATCAGAAAGGTTCGGAGAAGCCACTAGAGCAGACATTTGCTAAGATGTCCTCTGGTCTGGGCAATGGTTTGCTCAAGTAAGTGTCCTCTGTCATTTTGTCCACATTCAGGATTTATTTGCAGCTGC